TGGAAGGGGGGGGGGGGGTTGTTATTGGTTGTTATTATAATGTGGACTGAGAAATTTGCTTAGCAAAGTAACAGAGGACTTGTGGGAACCTTCGATTGGAAGACATACGCGACCTTATGATGGATAGTTCTGTAACTTACATCACATTGTCATTGATAAGAGCGAAAAAAATTACTAATATTTTTAAAAAATACTTTTTATTATGATCTGCTCAACTTTATGAATGATCTTCAAAATTATCCCGACTTCGGTATGGAACCCAGGTCTTCTACATGGAAAAACCTGAACAAATGGGTGACGTCGGTAAGAGTAAACTTTAACACTCCATTTAGAACTTGCTTGAACCACTGCACACATCCAGGGTTCCGACTGTTCGACGGACCACTTCTAAGTCACTGTGACAAAACATTTTCAACTTATTTTTAAAATGGTGGCAAAGTTACTATATCTAGTACAACATTCTTTGGCTGTGACATTAGATGTTAGAGGATAATTCATATTTTCATCTTACCTTTAACTTGTAAGAGGATAATTCATATTTTCGTCTTACCTTTAGCTTTCTAAAACACAGTCACATAAAAACCAATTCCTCTCTTCTTTTTAATCTGTCTTCGCCCTTTTCTTCAGTTAAATCACAAGAAACATCTTTTGCAAGCATATTTCTCAAACCAGATAACACTTTGCATACGTCACCAAATAGACACAACATGTACAACTTTAATGGCTGAAGTCTTGTTTTAAAATGAGAAAAAGACGAAATATTATTGTAAATAAGAAAATATAGTAATAGGATAATACGGAACTTTATTGTCCCCTCGTGAAAATTTTCGTGGTGTTGCAGAAATGGTTAAAAACACATGAGGAATGGGTAATATTTACACTCCATTGCTTTCATAAAAGAATTTCAACAAGATATTTCACATAGACTATTCCAAAGATGCAAATAAAGGATGTTTTTGGAATACTTGTAAAATATCACTTTTTATAGTAAACAATTACTTCACAATGACAACAAGCCAACTTAAAAGTTAAAAATAATATCTGATCATATTGCCATAGTACTACTAAATCTTAGAAAATGTCACAAATTGTTTCCCCCATTCAGTTAGAGCTTTTTGGAATGATAAAACGGAATATGCATTATAAAAGGCCATGAGTATGAAACCCTCAAAACAATGCAGATTGGTCTGGGTTAAATCAGAAAATAAAAATAAAAATTATAACAAATGAAGCGTAAAAAATTAAATCACAAAAAATGAGTGCCGTCTTTTAAGAACTGGCCGATATGATGTATGAATCGCAGGCCAACCCGCCTCTTAAATCTTTAAGGGAATTTACTACTGAAACTGGGAACTTTTTAAAAGTCGGAATATGTTCACAGTTTGCTGTTATAACTGTCTTCAGTGCGATTGCGGCTAGTGGTGAGAGATTTGAATAGATAAAACCATCATTCCTGGACAACCAAGAAGAATTTTAGGTAAATGTTGGTTGTTGTATTTTTGGGGGTTTACACTATTTTTTCGGATTGTGTAAGCTGTCTAATTTCGTACGATTTTATTACTAAAAATACTAAGGCTTCCATATTTTTCGACTAATAGTGTTCGCGTTTTGCATAATGTCTTGACATCCATATTGCTACATTTCGTCAGCACCACATTAGTATAGTCTTCATAGTTTACTTTTGGTAATGCTGTTTCCTTGTTGGCAAAAGTGTTTTATCATAGCAGTTGACGATTTACCAAACGGGGGAGAAATTGCTTGAAAAATGAAAAAGGCTTAGGATTTTTTCACTACCCTAGATTTTGAGGTAACTGTTACCTACCATACCTCTCAGTTGTTGATGAATGGTGCTTTCGTCACATTCAAATATCTGTGGTCCCCCATGAATAAATAATAATATGCTGAACACTACGATAACACAAAACATTGCGTATTGAGAATCTGAGAAGATAGATATTACAGTAAAATCTTTAAAAGCGTATAGGACACATACTATGTCCTATCAGCAGCAGACCAAAGGCAGTGTAGAGGCACATTCCGAACCATTGTACAAAAACCAAACGCACAAATTTGCATATTTCATAGTTGCCTGCCTTGTTAAGTTTCAGATTAAGAAAACAGAGTAATATAATATATACTGGACGCCATTAAAAACGCAACACTTTGTTCGCAGATTCTGAACACATCAGTATCAACTGAATATAGATTAAAGGAATTTTTAAAATAAAGTTTATTCAATTTCCAACAAATATGAACCATTTTGATCACACAACTAAACTGGTATCGATAAATCGTCCTACTTCTCCCGGAGTATGCTCTTCAGACAAATTTGCAGATAAACACAAAGTCGAAGCTCAATGATAGATCTCTCACCCGTAGTAAATTGCATGGGCATCATTAACATTTATTTAGACAAAAACACTTCTTCGCATGGATTTTTTAAACATTTTCAATGTGTTCTTGAGATATTCTGTCCCACTTTCGCTGCAGCGCGATCTCCCTATAGCTGCAGATTCGCAAAACGGCACACACTTTGCGGTTGAGTTCATTCCATACGTGCCTGTTGGACACATGTTTGGTACGTACACTGCCCAGTGCGTGGCATTCATGTTATGATCTTCCAGAAACAGGTGCTGTTGGGTTAAATAGGCAGTGCAAGGGCAGGAGTGTCGTGTTGGATGACTGAAAGGTTCTGATTTTTCCTTCGTGTTGTTTCGCACCGTGAAGACTGCGCTGGTGTCATGGCTTCGTTAATGTTAGTCCTAAATAAGACGTTCTTGATCTAAGTTATGTCCTTAGTGCTCCGCGCCTCACACTGATGAAAGAAACATTTTCAGGCACTCCCTGTATGCTTTGAGCTGTTGCTTTTGAGAAACGAAACAATTTCGCAGATGCGACAGCAAAATCTGCCTTCCTGGAACAGGGCTGGTCTTTCGAGACTGTCCTGTTCTTTGCCCATGCCGGACGTTACAAGTGTGCTAAAATCTTTGTATAAGTCGAGAGCAAAACAAGCACTGAATTTTAGCCGTACTGCTGCTTCTCAGGCAGATGTTCCGCCTTGAACACGGCGGAAGTGAAAGTTGCGATCAGCTTCGCTAAGTTGAAGAGTCTCATGATGAAAGAAATAACAAAGATATATCGAAAAAAACCCTAGGATTTTTGTTTGGAAAGAGCTAGATCTACGGGTCATCTTCCAGGTAAATACTTTTGTGTTCTTTAATAGTACATGTACAACAACTAGTGAACACATTTTACTAAACCATAGTTCTCTGTATTGTGATGAAACGTACTGATGGAAATAGCAAAAATCGTGCACGTGTGTGTGGCTCACTTGTGACAATTGTGTCTTAAAAAATCGTGGCGATCAGAGGATATTTCGCACTTTTTGTTTAGCTTTTTGAAAACGCTGCGCTTTTAATGGCGTTCAGTATAGATCTAAAATCTATATTTATTTTATACATAGCACAATTATGCTTCTTGTGTGCGCCAAAACAGCTCTTCTTCAAGCGTTGTGGCAAAATGCGCGTCCTCAATGGGAAAGACGTTCTCATTGTATTCATTTAAGTGCAAAACATTTACAATTACGTGAGAAGAAAGCCAAACAGCACAGATCGAAATAAAATAAAGTTGTTTAGATAACTACAAGCTCTCTCTCTCTCTCTCTCTCTCTCTCTCTCTCTCTCTCTCTCTCTCTCTCTAACACACACACACACACATATAAACACACACAAACAAACCAACATACACACACACGCCCACACGTACTCGCACATAATTACACACTCACAAACACACGCACACACATGCACACACACACATACACACATACACACACGCGCACACACACGCGCACACACATACACACACACTGTGTGCGAGCGTATGTTTGCTGTTAACTTCTAGGCATTAATATGCACACCAGAAGTTGAATCTTACAGAAACCCACTTTGTGCTTCAAGAATAAACCTAATACCCAAAGCACACTTTCAAACGGATTCATTTGATTCAGTCGGATAGGGATACAGCTTGACTTTTATTGTTCGTCATAGATAGGGAAACAGCTACCGTTTTGGCATATTAGAGCCCAATTGAATCAAATTAGACTGTGGCCTTCAAATCGGATATGTTTGTTTTGCAAGGTCGGAAGTCGGATCGCTCGTTTTGTTACAAAATTGTAGCTATTGTTCCTTCGTGAAGGAAAATCTGTCAACCCCAACTGAATAATAAAAAATGATTTGATTGTCAATGTGCACACGGTATAAGACAATGTTCAATTGGCTTTAGCCACCGACATTTAGAGGTCGGTGTGGATTCAAGGTACATTCTATTCCTACAAAACAAAAAACTTAAAAGAAAAAAAAATCAAACTGAGTATAAGCTTGCGACCCCCCCCCCCCTCCCAAACATAACACGTCTCAGACAGTGACCCAAAGCAATATACCTTGCAACCTGGACAGCATTTTAGACTTTTCTATATGATACCTCAGAATTACAACGTTCTTTCTGCCTAGTTTTCAGAAATTTGACGCTAAACATTTTGAGTTTCACAATATTTCAAGCTTTTCCTTTTTCGAATGCAACTCTTTAAATATTTTGATAAGAACTCAGAATTATCTTACTATTGCTTCAACCTAATGATCTTCGTAACTTAAAAGGCCAAAAATGTCACATAGAACTTTTCAATTCTATGGAAGTGTATAGTCAAAGAGAGAGCACATCGTTTATGATGAAAAGGAGATGACGACAAAGAAACGTCTGGTCTGATAACATTACAGAATGGATTGGTGTGTGGGCAAGAGAACTAATCGAAGTGACGTCAGATTGAGCAAAGAGCAGTTTCCCACGATGATGCAACTTAAGGGACGAATGTGTGAGTGATCGCGAAGATTTTGAAATTTAAATCATGACCGTACAAGTTGCATTAGCTGGTAGATATAGAGGTAAGGAATCCAATTGTCACCCCAACCCAGATAACAAAGAAAACGACGAAAGAAACAAAGTCAATGTATTTCGTCGTTTTGATCACTCGAAGATTCCTCTGCTTCTTCTAGACACGATAAAGGATCGACAGAGTTACGTTTGCTTTTCGCATTGCCGTTCTCGGCAGTAGCCGGTCTGAGCCTTTGGTCGCTGCCAGCCGAGGCCGGCCTTTTGGGGTCGAACCCAAACATGTTCCCGAGGGATGGGCGATCTTGCATGGGAGCCACCGATCGTTGCATGAGCTTCACTCTGTTGAAAGCGCTATGGAATTTCTCTCGTGCTTTGATTTGCTTCTCCTTCTCCTGTGACGATAAGTATATAACATGAACAAAATTTATGTAACGAAAGTAGCAAAATAAGCAAAATTTGATTTGTAATATGAGGAAAAAAAATCCCCGACAACTTATAATCGTGCAGTGAGTACAAACAAAATATAACCTCAAATGAAATACGATTCACAATTATGCAATACGGTAAAAAGTGAGCATGTTATACAGGAGATTAAAATTTTATCGAGCAATATAGAATATTAGAATTTAGTCACCGGAATGTAATAAAGGAAACAAATTACGTTATAAAGTGCAATATGACATTCTGTCTTACAACACCATGCATTCCTGTATCATGCCTTTCAATACCAAACTTGATCCTACCATATTCACACCACACCATACCACACCACACCACACGGACCACATAATACATTATTATAAAACACCTTCCTGCACCTAAATCACAAGTAGAAAATGATGACATACCTGCTCCTGGTGACTGAGATAGACGATGAAGATACTGTCGATAACGGTAAGGGATGAGAGGATGAGGAGGATGAAGAGGTAGATGGTGACAGAAGGCACTTTGTCGGAGGAGCGGGGCAATATGGAGCTTACGATGCTCAGAAATACAGACACGGCCAGCAGGACTGTGATTCCTGAGGAGGCAAAGGTTGTTGTTGCTGTTGTTGTTGTTGTTGTTGTTGTTGTTATTGTTTTTGTTTGTTACTGTTGTTGATGAAGTTGTTGTTGTTGTTGTTGTTGTTGTTGTTGTTGTTGTTGTTGTTGTTGTTGATGTTGTTGTCGAAGTTGTTGTTGTTTTTGTTGTTGATGTGGTATTTTTTGTTTTGTTGCTGCTGCTGATGCTACTGTTATTATCGTTGTTGTGGCCGTTGTTGTTGTTGTTGTTGCTTTTGTTGTTGTTTTTGTTGTTGTTTTTGTTGTTGTTGTTATTTGTGGTGGTTGTGGTGGTGTTAATTGTGATTATTGTTGTTGTTGTTTATTGCTGTAATATTAGTTGTAGAAATGGTAGCAGTCGCAACATTAGTAGATCTAGTAGTAGTAATAGAAGTGGTAGTAGTAGTAGTAGTAGTCGTAGTAGTGGTAGTAGTAGTAGTAGCAGCAGCAACAGCAGCAGCAGCAATAATAGTAGTAGTACCTGTAGTAATAATATCTTATCGTAACTGATCTCCCCCCTCCCCTAAAAAAAAGCCTAATTTGAATACATAAACCAAGTAAGTATTCACATACCATAACTGATCTTTTCCCCGGAGTTCACTGGGATGATGAACACGAGGATATTGAGGAGCGACAGAAAGACCACTGGTAGAAGAATGTTCAACAAGAAAAAGGTTGGGCGTCGTTTGAGGACGAACTGTAACTGAAATGATAAGAACAAAGGTAATTAAATGCATGTTAAGGAAAGAAAAATAGTTGAATAGTAAACTATAAGATAAAGTAGCATCCACACAAAGAAATAAAAAGCTATTAAAAAACACACAATCGAAATGATGTCTTAAAATGCTGGCAGCGACAATAATAATAATAGACAACATTAGTTTGCAAATCCCCGCTCAACAGTAAGCTCTATGCGCTTCACAATCTATGTGACAAGTATATAAAGTAGACCCAGCCGACCTGAGAGCATTCCCAAACGACTTCAACTTTCAGGGAAGCATACAGTGAAAGCTGCCATTTATGGGCGCTAAAACACTGACATACTGACAAGATCGTTCCGTGTCTATGGCTTTGTACCCATTCCCACTTGGGTGAAGCGAGGAAAATTCGTGTAAAGTGCCTTTCTTCAAGGACACAGCGTCGGGTCCACGGCTCGAACCCCCGAACCCGCAACCTCGCGATTACGAGTCCGGTAACCTAACCACTAGGCCACCGACGCCACACAAATAGAATATGCCACGTTCGAAACAAAACCACGAGAGAGTAGATGTATTCTCTTTATCAATTATTATGTGTCACGACGAGGTGGAGTCAGGCGCCGGTCAGTTTTGGATCCTAGAGTTTTGAAGTTTTAAAAATTGTTTATCTTGCATTTGATGAAAAAAGACATCCATTAATACTGAACAGAAGTTGAAATATTTGTGATTAAAGGAGGTGGGGTTCTTTTTGTTTCAGTGGTAAAATTAGCAGAAAAATGACCTCCAAATATTGGTGACTTCCAGAGCTTGACAGTCCTTGGAAAGTATAGATTTACATATTTTGTGCCTTTTTAAATTAACGTTTTTCGGTAAATATCCACACAGCAATATCTTTTAAGTATAGTATAAGGTTTTACGGCGCTCGCAACTGCTAAGGTCATATGAGCGCGAATATCTTTTAAAATAGACATAAAAGGTGTTGAGGCAAAAAAATAAAATTTTGATAAGAATTAACTAACGGGACTATAAAATGCCGTTTTCTTCAATATCATTATTTTGATGATGATGCTTAGCATAGATTGAATATATAACGGTGCGCATAGGTTATTGTGGACTCCTTTTCTTTTTCTAATGTAAATTTGTTTACGCCCCATCGACGAAATCCAGTTCCCTGAGGCGCGCCCTGATCGTGCCTGTGAGTCTCAACCAGGGTTGAGAGGGTAACGATGTCCTTGTAGAAAGGCCGAGATACTCGATACAAGTTTATATGTGAAGCACCATGGTGGAATCAGGCACTCGTCAAAATAATTAAATCCTCCCGGTTTGGCAATTTAAAAAAAAATTAAACTTTAAGTTTAACACCTTTTACGTCCATTTAAAAAACATTGATATGTGCGTTTTTACTTAAAAACGTTGATTTAAAGAACCAAAAATGTACAATTTTAGTTTTTACAGACTCTCAAGCTATGGGGTTTCCAAACCTTGTTGGCTCTTTTCACGCTAATTTTACCTCTGAAACCAGGCTTTCTTCTATTGCAAATATCTCGATTTGTATTGAGGACAGAGGGGTATTTTTTCTTTGAAAGATAGAAAATGAAGAAACTTAAAGACGATACCAAAAACTCCACATGTCCAGAAATTGACGAACGACTGATTCCACAGCATCATGGCACTTAGCTCCCAACATGGGAATGGAAATCAGGTCTTCACTGTGCGACAAATAGTAGGCCATCACACGAGGAAGCGACGGCATGTGGCGTGTTTCTTGACGGCACTCTTGCACAGGGGTTTCTCACTTCTCTAGCCTAGCACAGGACACCGTTCTGTGTTCTGATCTACTCTTTTGTCTGGTCTCTGTGACTGTTCCACAGATTAAGCTGACAGTGTAGAAAAGAAAGCACACAATGCCTACTGCCCGCAACTTAGTTAAACTGCAGTTACTAAAAGAGGTAGATGGGGAAAAACAACAACTGTCATGGCATTCCCAACTCTACGCTGTCGATATTATAGCTTATTGAACCCCAAACCGAAAGTCTGGCCGTCCCAAAATTAAAGTTTCTGTTTAAGCGAACTCCACTGTAAAGGGGCATACCTCGTCTACAATTAGAATTGTCACGATACGGTGGAATCAGACGCTGGGCAATTTTTTTGAGCTATTATATCATCTTGGAGCTTATTTGTCTTGCTTTTGCCGGAAAAAAAGACAAACATCCATATTTCTTAATCTAATCCGTACGCCCTGGGGTCATTTTGTGCCTCCGTGTTGTATTCTTTACATTTTAGAATACTCCTAATATGAAGATCTCTTTGAAACTTTCAGTATTTTTCAAAAAATCATTTTGACAGATTGCTATGCAAAGCGTACGGATCGGATTAACGAGTAAATTTCTTCTTTGGAAAGCGGTGGCACAGAGTTCCCCACGTCGTAAGGATACGATAGTGAAACACGACGTATGGATAGGGTTAAAAAGAAGTCGAGATATATACGATTGAAAGAGGTGAGGATCGCATGGTGTAAAATTAGCAATAAAATGGCCGTAAATGTTTAGCGACTTCCATGGCTTCAGTGCCCTTGAAATCTGCAAATTTACATTTTAAAGTCTTTCATCAATGCTCTTCAGTACAATTCATACTGGGATGTATTTTCAAATAGATAACATGGAAAACTAATTTTGAGCCAAAAGGAAAAAAATTACATCTGTATGAAAACAGAAATTACAGAGCGGGCAGATAAATGTTGGTTTCTTCGATTTAATTTTAATTTGTCGAGTGTCTGATTTCCCTACAATGTCTCACAATTACATTTTTAAAAATATTTGTGATCAAATTCTCTCGGGAATTGCATTATTGAATAGGCTGTTGGCAAAGAAAGAGTTAATCGCAAAGCGAAAGACACTTGGATCTTCGAAAAAAGACAAACAAATCGGATCAACGTTTCGCCTCATATTCATCATCATCATCACCATCATCATCCTCATCATCATCATCATCATCATCATCATCATCATCATCATCATCATCATCATCTTCATCATCACCATCATCATCATCACCATCATCATCATCATCATCATCATTGTTTCAAAAATAGATAGGTAGGGAGAGTCTTGATTGATTTAGATCTACAGACAAAAGAAAAAAAAAAGAAGAATTTTTGTAAATTAAAAAAAAAATCGGCTTGACGTTTCGCAACGTAGGCTTCCTCAGAAGCCACTGAGAGTGAGGCTAATGTAGCGCTGTTTAGTATCAAGAAGGGGCCTAACAAAGAAGGTCTTACGGTTACGTGTAGTTACCAGGCAGTGCGCAAGTGACTCAGTTCGAGGAAGGCCAAGGGGCTAATCATCATCATCATCATCATCATCATCATCATCA